GGGCTAAAAAACTCCAAAATTAAAAAATAATTTGGCTATTTAATACTCCCTCCGTCCCGTAATATAAGAACGTTTTTGCCACTACACTGGTGGTAAAACAGTTCTTATATTATGGGACAGAGGAAGTATTTACAAAATAAAAGGAGTTTTTTGGAATGTGTGAGGTTTGGGTATGTTAGGGGAATGATCATAGAAGATAGAATAGATTTTATTGGCCCGTTGAAAACCATAAAACAAAAGTACTCCAGAAGACAATTGCATTCCCATAGTTGCCGCAAAAAAAAATTGCATTCCCATAGTAGAGGGAAAAACTTTGAATGGCACTAGAATCCCGCTAGGGGCTGCCCCAATTGGAAGGGAAAGCTAGTTTCCTCGATGTACTCCCTCCGTTCTTAAATACTTGTTTTTCTAGGCATTTTAACAAGTGACTACATACAGAGTAAAATAAGTGAATCTGCACTCTAAAACAGCATTTTAACAAGTGATTACATACAGAGTAAAATAAGTGAATCTGCACTCTAAAACATGTCTACATACATCCGTATGTAGTAGTAGTCATTTAAAATGTCTAGAAAGACAAATATTTAGGAACGGAGGAAGTACTAGCTAGAGTTTATCATGGTAATTCCATACAATGTTTGGTGGGTAGTGATGAGCACTGGTTACTTCGATTCTCACATTTATACTTGAAATTTTCGAGAGTACAGATACGGAAACGCCCACAGGACATATGAATGAAAGTCTACATGGTAAAAGTCACAACTGGAAATACACATAGGACAAGCAACATGGCAGAATAAAGGGTCAGATTTGACGACTCCATAACACGGGCAGAAAGCTTTATATCAATTTTAAAGATCTCATGTTCATCAACATGGGTGTGCATTCCAGTCCCACCGCCACCTGGTGGTCAAAATGTGCGTACTGGGGTTTTCCAGCAACCGAATCAAAAGACTGACAAAGATTTCCAACTAAACCTAGTGATATGAAACCCATATCATGAAAACGAAATTCGCAAGATAATTGTCTCGTGGATCACACCCCATCAAACCAGAGTGACTATTAATGTCTAATCTTCTTATTTTACTGCAAAATGAATTCACTGGCCATGACAAGATCATAGCATCATCATGCCCGTTCAAGAGGAGGTGGCTTTCTTCAGGTACGCAATGAGATCAGCACGGTCCTGCGGCTTCTTCAGCCCAGGGAAGACCATCTTGGTTCCAGGAATGTACTGCATGGGAATACCAAGGTTTGGGTTAACAAGATACATTTCAAGAGTAGAGAATTGTTAAGGGCATGCTACGAACTGAGTGCGAGCATACAAGCTGATGCTAAATACATCAAGGCAAAACCATTTATCAGGACATCAGCCAGAATATGAATCAAGGATTATGTAAACAAGCTTACAGTTCCCAAAAACAAAACTGTCCATATAGATAATACAGTACAAATTATAATCCAGAGAAGAACACAGCCAACCATTCAAACATGGCCAGAAGGAAATCAGATACACTACAGCAGGACTACCTTCAGATTTGTTTTGGAATGCTTGGACATAACTACCAATAAGAGGTGATGTCTGGACTTTGGATAGTGGAATATGCAAGTAACCAAAACATCAACACAGTTTAATCAGAAACCTAGGTGCTGTTTGGCATATCTCCATAGGCTTCTCTACAGCTTTTCAACACATGAAATTCATTGATGTAATCACAAATTAGGTAACATAGGTCCCTAGATTATGCATACACTAGTGATGCAGACAAGCTTCTATACAGTTTTGCACGCAAGTACATATCACAATTTGAGAATACTTCATATATTGTCATCCTCACAAAGGAGTGAACCCAAAATATGATCATAGAGTGGAGAACACAGGTTGCTATCAAAGGCATCCTAGAGTACAACACAACCACAAGTAAATGGAACTTCTGAAGTAATGTAAGTGATCAATAAGCATACCTTCTTAGGATTAAGCAAGTAGTCATACAGAGTGTTCTCCTCCCACTCCACAGCCTTGTTCTTGTTTGCCGCAGAGTAGGAGTAACCAGCGGTGGTACCCGACTGCCTCCCAAACAGACCATGCAAGTTTGGACCTGCAAGGACAAACAAAATGCTTAATATCAACAACAACCTTCTATCATATGCTCATGCATACATAGTAAGATGGGATGTGATGGAGGTTGAATCCTAAACGGACCATCTATTTAACACGGTAGCTAATCATTTTTAAGAAACCCTGTGCTACATAACAAATCATTAAAATAACCAGAAATGTAACAAAACTGGTCCATTTCGGACCGCTTGCGTCCCACATCAGAGACTAAGGAAATATGCATGCCTTCTATCAATCCCAGAATAAGCAGATCCCTAACATCATATATCAGATGATCGCAATGAAATAGTCACAAGCACGGCCAATAACATCAGCAAATTAATCTCGATCAGAGAGAGCACAGCAGCAGCAGCCTAATCGCACTAAGCAGGCGATTCAAAGCAACAAACAATCGCGGAGGCAAGCCCTGCTGCAACAGATCACGATTCGAGCAATATGTAATCTCTAGCAAATATAGTTTTACAATACAGCAAGCACCAGAAATCGGGAAGAAACATCTCGCCATCGACTGCTAAGCATAAGCAGAGCTACGAATCCAGTGCTCAATCGACCGCCCCATCACAAACCGCGACAGATCTAAGCGCTACTTCCGACAGCAGAAAGGGCACACACACAGATCTATCCGCGCAGCATCCGATCTGATCTCAACCACCGCCCCACACGCGCAGATCGAAGGAGCCATTCGGATCTCCCGCGCCCAACACGGCGAGGGACAGGCGAGAATAGATAAACACGCTGAGGCGTTGGGCGGAGACCGGCGGTGGAGGCGCCATACCTTGCTTGTGGCCGGCGCCGGCGTCGACGGTGTGGCACTGGGCGCACTTGGTCTTGAAGATCTTGGCGCCCGCGTCGGGGTTGCCGGGGGGAGCCTCGGAGAAGGAAGCCATCGCCGCCGCCGCCGCAGAGACTCGCCGGAGGACTCGAGGGGGGGAGGCCAAGTGAAACTTCTGCTCGCCTTTCTGGCTGCGGGCGACTTCGTGGGGAAGGTGTTGTATAGACCGGTCTAGCGGCGCGGCGGGGCGCGGAAGTATGGGAATGCCCCTGGGGCCTCGCGAGCGCTAGGCACGTGGGCGGGGGTGTTTCGGGAAAAAGAGGAGGTTCCGGAAGGTTTCCGTGGCTTGGAGGAAAAGAAAGGGAAGGGGGTGGGCGGCGCGTGGACGGTGAGCGTGGACACCAGACGCTCCGCTCGGTGTTGGGCGCCCACCAACTAGGGCTTCCCGTGGACCGGGTCTTTTCTTCTGTTTTTCTATGGTGCACCGGGTCTATCGACTCTGCTTTGGGGTCAAAGCGCTCCACTCGTGTCGTCGGATGGGGGAAAGGGGAATCGTGGCCGTTCGTGGGCAGGGCGTAGGTGTACGAACGATCCTGGTTGAAATTAGGTATAGGTCTGATTTTACGAGTGTGGCAAAATGCGTGGAGAAATGGAGATCAAGGAGAATCCTTGCAATTTCTTTTGTGTAAAAAGGTCCCTGCCATATTTTAAGTCTTATATAGGTCCTTACAAAACATAATCATCATAAAGAAAAATGAAAGTGTATTGAAAGCCTTGAATGTGTTGATGTCTTTTTCCTCCTGCATCCGGTGACAGTGCGTCGTGATCATATCTCGATGTCGCATCTGGGTCTCCACCTTATGAGAGCAAACTTTTTTAAACCAAGGAGCCTGTAGAAGCAGCGGTCGAAAAATCATCGATGTAGACCAACACACGTCGATGGCCACGATCTCGCATATCACTGTCCAAGGGAAGAAAAAAATCAACGATAAGGAATAAGGGGCAATGTAGAAACTCTGAAGACCAGGAAAGCAAGAGAATCCAGATGAATCCACTGGAAACATAAAACCGAACGGGCCCGAAGGACCCATCAGAAACACAACTCATCATGTACTCTGCCGATGATAAACACACCAATGAAATGGGGAAAGAACGAGAAGAAAATTATTCCCCCAAACCAAACACAAGGATTTCCTGATGTAAACCTGGAAAAAAAAACACTCGAGCTCGCCGTCGTCGAGGACCTTGCATCGACGCCCTTTTCTCTGGCCAGGCCAGGCTAGGCCGCCATTGAGGATCGTCGCGCTGAATATGTGACCCACCGGCCACCGTTTGATCACTCATCACATCACCGTCGCCGTCCTACGGCTGTCCACCAGCTCCTCCATACCGACTCCCGACGTGCAACAGCCCCTCCAACACCACTGGGGTCTGGGGCTTTGCCCCGCGACACACCCCGGTGGCGGCTAATGCCCGCGGCGTGCCTCTCTCACGAGATTAGTCTAGAACCCATGCATCCTGTGTAGTAAGGTTTTCAATTTAGTACGGCTAAAATGTGCAAAATTTGCCAATAGAAACAGTGGGGTTCCTTTGCATCCTGGTCGACTGGCCATAATAACAGCTGAAACAAGAGATCGGGTACATCATTTCTGCTGATCAGCTTGACGCATGGTGATAGATCCAGACCGCCGGTCGTCCTTGTCGATCGAACCGAACAAAGGCTTGCAATCAGCTCCAAAGAAAGACAAGAAAACACCATACATGAACAATTGCATCTACGGATCAAACATGAACATTGTCAACAGGTGGAGAAGCACTCCCCTGAACTTCCCGAGCTTTCCTGGGGGTCAGTGTTCTTCAACTAAAGCTCAAATTTATTTCAGGTATTTACAACGTTCTAGGTAGGGGTAAATCTTGGCAGTAGAGCTACGGCGGCATTAGTGGATATGATACACGTAGGTACATACGCTACTACGGTTAACAGGTGACAAAAGTGGTGGTGGTAGCGACGCAGGCCAGCATCAACCGTGGGCACGGGGAATAGCACGGATGATGCTTAGGCTGCGTGGAGTTGCATCCGATTCCTTCACGGGTTCAAAGCTATCTTGTTCAGCAGGATCCTAGAGGATGGAGACCTGGGGCTGGGTTAGTGCCAGTGTGGAGTAGAAGCCCTGCATGGACAAAGATTCATGTATGTTAAGTCATATGCCATAGGCAGATGTTGGACACAGCAAGTTATAATGAGGGATGACAATATTAAGCGTTTTGTTCAGGCAAATGTTTTCTGGTGCTCATGATCAAATTGCTTACTTTGGCTTTCTACCACCAACAGACAATTTATTGGGGCTTGGCTTGCTCGGCGACTGGGATGCCCCGCGTGGTGGGGGAGGCGGTGGCGGCTGCAGAATCAAGTGAGCAAAAGGTCAAATCTAATGTAAAGATACACCGTAAATTATGTATCTGATCATGAATATCTTTTAGATCAACAGTTATTATTCTGTAGCAAAATAAAAGCACATACATTTGGTACCCTTGTCTTTGCGCTTCCGGTCTGCAAAGGAGTTGCATTCTTTGATGCAAATACTCGAGATCCAACTGTCTCCTGAATGCCCTACAAAAGAATCACAATAGCAATTACATCTCTGCCTCTCTGGTGCTTATTCTTGAACTTCCACTCTCTTGTTATATTATAATTATATTATTTCTTTACCGATAAGATCATGATGTACCATGGGTGAATGTAAAATTCTATTCAAAGTCTCATAATGAGGTGTAAACTGTATGCATAATGTAGAATATGTTCTAAATTTCATGCTTCCTTGCAGCAACTGACACGCTCAAAGAAGAATAACTATCAGCATAGTGTGAGTCTGTAGAGAAGCATTCATATATAGACAAAACAAATCATGCAATCAGCTTATCAGCTTAGCAAGAAAATGAGCACAATGCTGTGATCAAAATAACCAATGGCACCGAATGAAAACAAGGTCACACTTAGTTACCTGCTTATTTGGCTTTCTGATGTTCTCTACGACTCGATTGGCTCCAACATTCGAAGTCAAAACTTTCCTTGGAGGAAGATTAACAGAACTACACAAATAAGAGTGGTAATTGTTATTAGCAGAATGATTAAACCAAATTTGATAATCCAAACCATTACAGCTGCGTAACAAAATTAGCACCTAGATTTTAGTTTCCCGCCAACTTGGAGTTCTAACCTTTCCTTAGCATAGCTGCCAAATGATGCAAAAAGAAGAAATCAAATATGGTACAAAAACAATTAAGCATACATGTCTGTAAGTCTGTACTGGTACCTTTTCATCTCTGGTTTGCTAGTTTTAACAAGATTTCGAGTAATTGCCTTCTGGGGAGTAGCCTGCATGAGAAACAGAGAGGAAACAGTCAGAAATGTGTATGTTAATTATGTGTTATGGTGAGAGAAGGGATTGGAACGTACCGCTGTGGCCATAGCACCATTTGAATTACCCGGCATTGCTCTCAACCTTATTGGTGTTTTTGGATCCAATTTCAGGGTATTCTCTTTGGCAACAGCTCGTCTTTCTCCCGTTGAAGGGCGACAAGGCGTGATGGCAACATCAGCATGCTTTGCTGCACTTCCCCTGCTGAGGCATGGTTCAGGAGTTGAAGGGCAACAAGGGTTGCCAACATTAGCATGCTTAAGCCCATTGTCTCTGGCAACAGGGCGTCTCTCAGCAGTAGAAGGCCTGCGAAGAGGAACAACATCGGCATGCTTTGGAGCAGCTTCTCTTTTTATAGGGCGCCTCTCAGCAGTAGATGGTCTTCGCAGGGTGACAACATCAGCATTCTTCTCTGCAATCCCTCTTGCGACAGGCCGCCTTTCAGCACTAGATGGCCAACATGGACTGGCAATACCAGCAAGCTTTGGTGCTACCTCTCTGCGTGTAGGGCGCCTTTCGGCAGTAGAAGGTCGTTGTGGGGTAGCAATGTTGGCATGCTTAGGCGCTGGCTCTTTGGTGGTAAGGCGCCTATCAGGAGTAGATGGTCGGCGTGGGGTAGCAATGTTAGCATTATTTGGTGCCGGCTCTTTGGTGATAGGGCGCCTATCAGCTGTAGATGGCCGGCGTGGGGTAGCTACGTTGGCATGCTTTGGTGCCAGCTCTTTGGTTATAGCGCGCCTTTCAGCAGTAGATGGTCGACATGGGCTAGCAATGTTTGTTTGATTTTCTGCCAGGTCTCTAGTGGCAAGGCGTCTTTCAGCAGTAGAGGGGCGACATGAGTTAGCAATTCCAGCAGGGTTCCGTGAACCGTCTCTGGTGACAGGCCGTCGTTCCCTGGTGGAGGGCCGTTGCGATGCTGCTGAGGAAGGTCTTCTAAGAGCTATGGCACCAGGATCTTCTTTGGGCACACGTTTGGTTCTTCCCGTGGTGCCAATCACATTGGTGGTTGCTGCTTTTGGATTCCGCAATGATTGAATATTTCCAGGCTTGGTTTTCTGATTTATCACAATGGGCTTGGCTGATTCAGGACCCTGAAAATTGTTCATGAAAACCATATTATTAGTTTCAGGGAAATGTTCCTGTTCTGTGACATATCATAAATGCAGGTATTTATTTTGTGCCTTGCATGATTGAGCAGTTGGTCATCATTATGGGGTCCAGGCCATTATGCTAGTTATCAGAAAACAAGGCAAATGTAGATAGCAGCAAATAATTCGAAGTTCTAACAAGATAAACACCAGACCACGATGAAAAGGTTTACCTTACTGACAACTGTGTGATCAGGATTATAACTAGAAGTCATCTTGACCGTCTTTGGAATAATTTTTGAAGCTTGACTAATCCGGGAGCATTTCTCAATAATTCTCTTAGGGGTCATCGTAGCTTCATTGGGCATCAGCAGATCATCTTGACCACATTTAGCATTTTGTTTATCACTGCTTGCATTTTCTCTGGTTTCTTCGCCATTTATCTGTAAGCCTCCAACTGATGAAGAACGAGTCAATGTGGAAATTCCATTACCTATGCTCTCATTGTGATCCTTGTAGCATCCCAGTCGATGCTCAGGTGTGGTCTCGGCTGCTATTTGTCCCATGGAATCATCAACATGAGTTCCAGATCCAGCAGGAGATGCATGCTTTGCAACTGGTTCGTCTTCTCCTGTCTGACTAGAATCACTACCATCGCCACTGTACTCTAGATTCAGTTCAGTTTGTTGGTTTTGTTGTTCTAAAGCCTTTAGCTCCCTAATCCTCTTAAAGTATTCTTCAAAGTATGCCTTCTTCTTAGCAACTAATCCATTGAATTTAACAAACTCCTCAGTGCGCCTGTCATTGGTAAAAACAGACCACTTTTCCCATGCTAGCGATTCCAAATCGAATCTTCCAAAAGATATGGAACCATGGTCAAACACTTGCGTTGTTCCCTAAGGGCAGAAATAACACAGATATAAGAAGAGTGAGATTATTGACAAAGGTATTGATTCTTCACTTACAGATGGCAACAATTAGCTCTTTATAAAAAGCCTGGTTCAGACTACTAACTATTACAGAGATGTCTGACAGTAGTTAGCATGGATTTTCTAGCAATTTCAGTTGCAACAGGTAGATAGGCACTTGCCAGTTCATAGATCTACTATCAATCTTTACTTAGACTGAGGATCATATATATATTGATAAAAAAATAAAGGTTCTTACCAGACAGGCCTACGTAATACAAAATAAAAATAGTAATTACCATGGAAATTGGCCCTTTTATTATAATCCAGGTAAATTCTTTGTCTGAAATTAGCCATACTATGATACTATGGAAGTGTAATTACCTGAGAGGTATCCTGTCCAGATGATTCCTCATGCGGCCACGCAAAACAGTTTTGATTGACCTCTGTCGCCATAGTACATTGCGTGCCTAATTCATTAAACTACAATCCCTGCAAAATCGAACCAGCCATAAGCATAAGAAGAAGATACTAACAAGATTCATCCACTGCTTTTTTAGAACTACTCCCTCCGTCCCAAAATTCTTGTCTTAGATTTATCTAGATACGGATGTATCTAATACTAAAACGTAACTAGAGTCATCCAGAACGGATGTATCTAATACTAAAACGTAATACTAAAACGGATGCTTTTTTAGAACTACTCCCTCCATCCCAAAATTCTTGTCTTAAATTTGTCTAAATACGGATGTATCTAGTTACGTTTTAGTATTAGATACATCCGTATCTAGATAAATCTAAGACAAGAATTTTGGGACGGAGGGAGTACTATCTAGTGTTTTTTCAGCAAATTCAGGATTCAGATATTTGGAGCTAGGTCCACTGGAAAATCTCAAAACCCGACAGTGGCATCTCTGACAAGAACAGGTGCTATCTAGCAAGGAAGAATCAGATCCTGTCTAGTAAAAGGCTAAAAGCTTAAAAATAATATCACCAATCATCCTGCTGAAAGTGGCAATCCCCCCAAGTCCACTATTTGGAACCAACAATTTTCCATCGCAGCAAATCAATTCATGAACCCTGATCATTTCCAACTGCACCGTTGGGCCCTTGACACCTACCTTCGGAAGACAACATGTCACCAACACGAAATTTGTGCATTCGACAACTAGTCAAACAAGCAAACGTAACCCCACGGGAAATGATTGCATTATTTTCCCCTAAAATAACCAAGATAAGTTCTTGCAACTAGAGGATACGAGTGACAATTCGGAAAAGAAATGCGCAAAGAACTCACGCTAAAACACTTCAGCGGAACTGCAAGAACGAATGGTCGCTCAAACTGCTGAAAACCCTACCCCCGGTATGGACTTGCAGGAAAATCACGACCGAATCTAGAAACTTTTGAAGGGAATTTTTCAGAAATCACGCCGCAGATTACGCCCTTGCCAAATTAGGGCGGATCTAGGTGGTGTGCCGGGCGCGCACCCAAAATTCGCGGGTATCAATCAGTTTGGGTTTAAGCAAGCAAAAATCACAGGAGGAGAAAAGGCTCATACCTCAAGAAAGCGACGCCCAAGATCGCTGGCGCAGCGGAGCGGAGCAGGGCCGCGACGAGGTAGAACAGCGGGACGGCGCGGCGGAAGGAAGCAGGGGAGCCCTAGGGCACAGCGGAGGCGCGCTGCGGGGGAGAATCTAGACCCGCATTGGGCCGGCGTGGAGCCTGGGGTAGGCCAGGGGCGAGAGGAAAGAAAGGTACAGTACAAGATGGTGGAGAGGGGAGGAGAAGGGAAAGTGTAGCTGCGGAGTAGAGGTACGAGATGCTGGCGGCTCGGACAGGGAGCCCCGACCCCCACCGTCGAGCACGGGCCTGGAACCGGCCGGCGGTCCGGCGAGCGCGGCGCGGCAGATCCGGGGGAGGGAGGAACCGCTGGGGCGAGCAAGAACTGTGGGCTGTGACCGCCCGCTCTCCCTTCTCTCTGGTGGCGAGCGCCCCGTGGTGTCTGCGCTCTGGCTTTGCCCTACGGTTGGGCGTACCGAAAGAGAGAGAGAGGATTTGATTTGTTTCCACCGCGGCTGGTGGCGGCGTTTATTGCTGCTGCGACGGGGAGGGGAGCGGGGCGGGGGAGCGGGGGAGGGAGGGGATACTTTCCTTGCGTACTTGGGGCCGGATTAGGTGGGTGTTAGCGGGGACGACAGTGTGTGAGTGAGTGTCAAGTTTTACTAACCGTTGGGGCCGAGAGGGCTACTCGCCTCTCTCTTCTTTTTAAAATAAAACCTGGCCACACCCTATTGTACTACTACTTTTTTCATTTTTTGGATTTATGTAATGTGAACTGTGGTTATAGAAACAGATAAATACAGGGGGTAACTATGTGAATTGTAGAAAAAAATCCAGATTAGGTGCGAGCAATACAAATATTCGGCTATGAAAAGACTGAAAGGGAACCACCGCAGTGGCACCTGCCGAGCTCCACCTCTGTAACACCCCGGATATGATTTACCCAATATGTAATCCAACTCTTGCCGTTTCCGGCGTTAAGTTATTTTTATTTGCTCGGGTTTGGGTTTTTGTCTCCGTGTGTTGTTATCATTGTCATGCATCTCATATCATGTCATCATGTGCATTGCATTTGCATACGTGTTCATCTCATGCATCCGAGCATTTTTCCCGTTGTCCGTTTTGCATTCCGACGCTTCGTTCTCCTCCGGTGGTCAATTCTACCTTTCTTTCGTGTGTGGAGATTAAACATTTCCGGATTGGACCGAGACTTGCCAAGCGGTCTTGGTTTACTACCGGTAGACCGCCTGTCAAGTTTCGTACCATTTGGACTTCGTTTGATGCTCCAACGGTTAACCGAGGGACCGAGAAGGCCTCGTGTGTGTTGCAGCCCAACACCCCTCCATTTTGACCCAAAACCCTCTCCATCATCTAGAGTGTTCGATCATGATCGCGTGGCCGAAAACCGCACCTCATTTGGACACTCCTAGCTCCCTCTACCTCTATATAAAGAACACCCCAAAAATCTCCTTCTCCTTCCTCCCGAAAACCTAGCTCCTCGTCCACCGCGCCGCGCCGGACAAAATCCGCGCCGACGGACATTGTCCGCCCGATCCGCCGCCGCCTCTCCCGTCGCGCCACGTGGCACGCCCCGTCGCCGCCGCTCCGGCCCGAGTCGGGCCCCCGCGAGCCCGTCGCCCACGCCGCCCGGTGGTCTCTCCTCCGCCGGCCTGCTCCGCCGTCCGCCGCCACCACCTCGTCGCCGGCCGCCGCGCCGCCTCCCGGTCCGCTCCGCCGCCAAGCCGGGCCTCGCCGCCGTCCCTCGCCGCGGACGCCGCCACCGCGCCGCCGCACGGCTCCGGCCTCCTCCTCCTCTCCCTTGACGCCGTCCCCGCCTTCCACTCCGGCCGGCAAACTCCGGCGAACTCACTCCGGCCAACCTCTGGAAACGCGCCAGATCCAGATCTAGATCCCCGTCTCGGTTGACTTTTCTGCCCGAAACCCTAATTATTTGCTCCTGTTCATCATGCTATAATTTTGCATCCGTAGCTCCATTTTGGGCATATAGCATATCAAAATGTTCGTCTCAGAGAGCACATCATTTCATCCCATTGCATCATTTTCATTTGAGTTCATCTTGATGCCCGAAATGCTGTTAGAAGAGTGCTATTTGAGATAATTGTCAGATCTGCTGGTCCAATTAGATATTTGTCATTTTTGCCATGATTAATGTGTGCATGGTGCTCTTCATGTGTTTTGTTAAGGGTTTTGTCATCTTTTCAGAGGTGCAACCCATGTATTTTTGTGATGTGTGTGATGACTAGCACAAGCTTGCAAAGTGGAGCATTCGTTAATGTTGATTTCAGGGACTTAGCATTTCCACTAAGTCCTTGGACTGTTTATCTCATATTGCCATATGTTCATGTTGTTTCCTAGTGATCCGTGCCTCTTTTGAGGATGATCAGTAAGGATGTTTTGTTAATATTGTATTGTTCTATCCATCCACGTCCTTGTTTGCAATTGTGGAGCACCCTATCTTGATTCAATCGAGCTCTACTTTTGTCATTTCGTGAATCTGGGCAGATTGTCTACTTGTTAGCAATTTTGCCGAGTATGTTGTAGTTGATCCGTGCATGCTATGATATTGTTCTTGCCATTTCTAGCTTCCATTTTGTGTATTCTTGATGGGTGTATGCTTAGTTTGTCATGACTTGCTCTGTGGTGAATGCATCGAGCTCGTAAACATGTCTACTTGATATCTGTTTTTAGCATGCTCCAGTTTTCACTAAGTGTGAGAACTGATTATGTTTTTGCCATGTTCACATGCTTGCAAATGTATTTTCTGATCCCTTTTGGCTCATGATCATTAAGGGACTTTTGTTAAGCTCTTTGAGTAGCTCCATGCCATGCTTTACTTTGCCATGTTCAGGTCCTGTAGTATATTGTTTTCATGCTCCAAAAAGTGCTACCTGATCTGAAATTCCAGACAAGTGTTAATTTCACTAAGTCTGAAATCTGTTTATTAAATGCATTTTGACATGCTTGTTTGAACCTGTTAATGGATGAATTGGCCATAGCTCAGTGCTAGACTTTTGTTAAGCATCTTGAGTGGATCCCTGCCATGTATTTTGATGCCATGTTTGGGTGCTGTAGCATGTTCATCTCGTTGCATTTAGATGGCTACTTTATGTAAATCGCAGATCGTGGTCATATTTGAATTGCTTGCCATTTCCAAACCGTAACTCCGATTCCGGCGTTCTTTATATCGTTTTCAAGCGATTTCATCTCATCTTTCCAGTGGAACACTTGGATTTCCAATGTGAGGCCAGGTTCATGCATCCCTTGTCAAATCTTGCATATGCATCCCGCATCGCATCCCGCATAGCATACTATCCTTGCATTATATTGTTTGAGCTTTGCACGTGGTTGATTGTGTTCCGTTTGCTTGTTTGTCTTGTTTGGGTAGAGCCGGGAGACGAGTTCGCTAATGAGGAGCCCGTTGAGTTTGCTTTCGAGGATCCAGTCAACTCTGACAACTTTTGCGGGCAAGATGATCATACCCTCGAAATCACTACTATCTTTGCTATGCTAGATGCTCGCTCTTTTGCCATGCCTATGCTACGATGCCTACCACTTGCTTATCATGCCTCCCAAATTGCCATGTCAACCTCTAACCCACCATGTCCCAGCAAACCGTTGATTGGCTATGTTACCGCTTTGCTCAGCCCCTCTTATAGCGTTGCTAGTTGCAGGTGAAGATTGGAGACCGTTCCTTGTTGGAACTTTATTTACTTGTTGGGTTATCATTATATTGCCATGTTATCTTAATGCATCTATATACTTGGTAAAGGGTGGAAGGCTCGGCCTCTCGCCTAGTGTTTTGTTCCACTCTTGCCGCCCTAGTTTCCGTCATATCAGTGTTATGTTCCCGGATTTTGCGTTCTTTACGCGGTTG